TCCAATAAAGAATATAAATGTAATGGAATATTGGTTTCATATAATATGCTGGATAAAATCTGAAAATCAACCTTTATTTTTCATTCTATATGTGACTGGTTTTTTTACACTGTCTGTATCCCATGCATTTCATGCAGCCTTTTGGATCTAATAACAATGAAGGCAGGAAGTTTATGCGAAGTAAGAATTGCCAGATAACAACAGTTGTGCTCAAATTGTTTCTCCATTTCATTACTGATATACTGTTTTTCTCTTTTCTTGCAGTTTTCCACTTGTCCCACAAAGTCACTCGGGTGGTTCCAGAAAGTGCTCTGCTGATTGTCCTTGGTCTTGTGCTTGGTGGCATTGTTTGGGCAGCAGATCACATTGCCTCCTTCCCCTTGACACCAACTGTATTTTTCTTCTACCTGCTGCCCCCCATTGTTTTGGATGCTGGATATTTTATGCCAAATAGATTGTTCTTTGGAAATCTTGGTTCCATCCTTTTGTATGCTGTCATTGGGACAGTCTGGAATGCTGCCACAACTGGTTTATCTCTCTATGGTGTCTATCAGACAGGAATAATGGGTAAGTTTGATCTATGGAGGCACAAATGTGAATGTTACTGTATACCAATTGTTAGATAAGCGATGATTTACATCTTAGCAACTCTTTCCAGCAGACAAATTCAGTTTTAATGGGAGCAATTTGTAGTATGTTTACCAAATTTAAGAATGACCTGGGAAGTCTTCCCTGAAGAAAGCATAAAAGTGTGTTGAAGCCATGTCTCACATATTGGCCTTGCTCTACGTGTATGCATACACTCTCAGGATTCTTCCTGCTAATGGACATCTGGGCAAAAATACACACTGAAAGGCTTGTTTCTTTCTGCTGTGATAGAATCTTTAAAAGTTACAGTGGAATAGAAGTGTCTTCCTTCAGTCAACTTTAGTATTAGGTAAGGCATGGTTGCTGAGTGGGTATATATGCATGACACACCTCTGCATCTCCTTTTTATCTTCTGAAGCTGGAAATTATAACTGAAGATTTAGAAGATTTACAGACCCAAGTAGCAGATGTCTTACTTTAAAAAAAGGCCATTTTAATGAAAGCAGTCCAAAGGGGTTTGAAAGGGTGGATGATGCTCCGATTTCTTAGACCACTAAGTCAAAAAGTGAAGATTCCCTGTTGCTTGTGCTTTGACCAGAGAAGTTGTGGGTGCCCCATCCCTGGAAGTATTCAAGGCCAGGTTCGATGGGGCTCTGAGCAACCTGGTCTAGTGGAAGGTGTCCCTGCCATGGCATTCCCTGCCATGTGAAACTGGAGGGTGTAAAAGGTCCCTTCCAACCTGAACCATTGTATGAATCTAAGACATACTCTGTCTTAATTATACTACAGCATAAGGGCACAGGACTGCTAGAAGAGGCACAGAACAGCAGTACTTAATCTCTACAGACTTGTTGATTTGAGACTCATGTTATGTAACTGCAGATGTTTGTAATACAGACAGCTATGATAGGTTTAGCTTATGTTTTAGATCTTTACCTTACTATAACTGGCATTTTAGAAGCAACAGTTTTTTCTTTAAAAGATACAAAGGTGACAGCCCAGATGCAATCACTCTTGACTTTTATAGGTAGATAAGGGGTTTACTGTGCTTAAGCATGTAGGCACACTATATTGTATCTGCAATATCACATTTATAGTTAGCATCATGTTTTCAGGAACAAAATATATGACAAAGAGATATTGCTATTGCAACAGATTGGAAAATTATTTCTTTATTTAAATATCCAAGATGCCTGGAACAATTTAAACTATGCAAGCAAAAATATGTTCTTAATATCCTGTTCTGGGAAATATAATGAATTGCTTTTATATATAAATTGATAAAAATCATTAAAGGAAAACGATTTACTTCTTCATGACATGTGAAATGGACAAGTCAAGTGCTTTCCAAAAAAAATTTATTTTAAGTGAAAAATTCACTTATCTCTTCCTCTCCTCCCAATCTGTAAATAATGCTTGACTGCTGCAAAAACTGGTTTGATGGATACATGCTCTGCTTCATCATTATGCAAATCTTTCAGTGACAGTGAATACTAGAACTGAGCTTACAGTTAAACAGAAGAATCAGCCCCTATCCCAGGTCACAGATAAAACTCTACAAGCTAAATATAGGGCTAACAATAAACTGACATGCGTGGTGAATTTAAATGTTTAGAAAGAGCATTAATTGGTATACTGTAGGGACCTGTATTTGCCACCAAGACATATTATAACCTACTAGAGTTCTAATTTCAGCTATGAAAAAGGCCAGAGGAGGCTGTCCCTGATTCAAACTATGCCATTCTCCAGCAAAGATGAGCAGGACTTTAAAATATCTCCATGACACATACTCGCTAATCCACTAAATATATTGCGTTGACCTCCAAGATGTCAGTAAGATCTAAGCACCACACTTCATGAAAAACCTCTTTATCTACTTGCTGAAGATAGGAGAATGTACTGATAGGAGAATGAGTTACTTAGTTTCTGGAAGAGTTCATAATAGCTTCTGATTGAAGTTTGGTGGCATATTTTTGTTTCTATCCTACTTTTTCTACAATTTAACTGAATAATGCAAAAAGTAATTTTAAAATCTAGAAATGCAAATCAGCTACAGTCTAAGATGAGCTAAAACCAATTTACTTCCAACCATACCATTCAATGGGCCTGTAATGCTGTCCGTCAATATAAGAGCTCATAATCCAAATTGGATTGCATAGATTTCCTATATAAATAAACATAAAAACAGCTCTTTGTTTGCATTCAATACCCTTGTAGATATTTTAACTTGGAGAAAGAAAATACAGAAGGTGATAAAGAAATTCTTCTTTAGAAGTGAAATTAGAAGATTAGCACCTTAATTGTTAACTAAGTCTTATCAGTCTGCTTTCATAGAATAGGATGAATTATCTAACCCTAAATCTCCCTGGCTTGTTGCCAAACTGTTCACCATCTGCTGGAGAACTAACACATGCAGTATTGCAGAACAATTGTGGTTGTGATAAATGCTTAGCTATAGCTACAACATGCTGAGTGTGTCTAAAAGTCTTAAACTGGGACCAGTAAACTTACCTTGCTCAGGTGTCACTGCTGGCAGCTAGTCACTCCAGCCTCTGTGGAGCCAGAGGCAGTCATAGTCATGTATCACTTGGAAATTGCTTGTTACTAGTTACTAGTTACTAGTGTTACTAGTCTTAATAAAAGTCTGATTTAGAAACTCCATTCCTCTTGACAGTGCTTCATAGGAATTATACATGTGTCCTAATCTTTCCATAAATATTTGCTCACTAGCTTTGCAAGTCCTCAAAGAATGTACCAATGATTATAATTGGTAACATATAAAAAAGATAAGCAATCTCAGTGAGCCAATTTATTTTAAAACCTTACATTCTATTGTACCATGATATCTGATAGTTATTGTCATTGGGCTTGTTCCTTCCTTAAGCATGCCAGAGAAGGACAACATTTGGTGGAACCATTACTTAGATTCATTCAGGTTCAAGGCTGTTCTCAGAATTTTTGGCACAGACTTCAGGTCACCGCTTCAACCCCATTCTCACACTTAAATGGATAGATTCAGTCCTTGTTCACAGCCCAGTATGTCCAAGAGTGAATGACACTCTTTATCTTTTGAAGATACAAGGTAGTTATATGTCAGTACAAGCTCTGAATTTCTGTTTTCAGGGCCTTACTATAAGGCCTTGAAACTGTATGGAAAACATTGTAGATGCTCTGATTGGCAGATAGTAGCTAAGAGAATATATTCATCTGCAGTTCCCCCAGGTAATTCACCGTTGTCACATATAACAGGGTGTTGTCTGCTCATGTCTCTGGCTGGCCATGTAAGTATCCTTTTCTTGAGTAAAAACGCCCATGCCATTTTGTATCAAAAATACCTGGAATCTAGTTTCTGTTTCAATTGCGTTCTAAGCACAAACCATTTTGAGTTTGAAAAATTGCCTCATAAGAGTTCTGTCTAGAGGAGTGGCCATGCTGTTGTGGAAGGACCTTACATGCAATATTGATCCTTTGGCTATGGCTTCTGACTGTCATTGTCTGACTCATACTTCCAAACCATTTAATCTGATTAATTGATTCTTCACCCATAGAAATCATGCCTGATACAACTATTGATTAATTTTGGGCATGGGCCTTTGCACTGTGTTCTAATGAATGAATTCTCAACATATTCCTTCTTTCCTCTTCCTCATATAATTTTTGGCACCATCACCTCCTAAGGAACTTTGCTTCCTCCTCCACCCAGTAATGAACATAAAAGAAATTTTGCTGTTCTCTACACTTTCAGAAATCTTTTTCCCAGGCAAAAAAATGATTGGGATACCACTCTTGATTTTATGAAGAAGGTGAATTTTGCAAGATATTTAAGAAGCTGAGCAAAACAATATTTGTGGTTCTCCCTTTTCTGCTAGTTTTAAAATGGCAGTCATGAACAAAATAATCTTAATAACTAAGAGAAGCTTTAAAAAAATACCAGGTTACACTGTCACCAGAGTCTTGTTCTTCCAAAACTTTTGAAATCACTGCCAAAATTCCTAAGGGGCTACAACACAAACACATTGAGGTACATTTTAGTCCTTCATCTATTTTTATGGTGCCCTTGCAGACAATTTAACAGTGGCCTCATGAATCCTAATTTTGGAACAAGTGGCTTAACTGCACCTATCAGTGAATGACTAACTTGCATAAGGAGGCCATTACTGGTCTTCAACTGCACTGAGTGCAGTTATGCCCCACTGTAGTAGTTCTTAGTGACCAAAAGTCACATTTGAACTGGGGCGTGAAGTATTTTGGAACATTTGCTTCAGAAGTACTAGTATGGTACAGTCGTCTTAACCATCTTTCAAGTTCTCAGTTACCCTGAGATAATTTGCTCCAATTAGACAAACTGTACTGTACATAAATACAAAGCCAATTTAGATCAGGAAATGCTTTGCCATAAAAACAGGCCTTTACTGGTCCTGCTCCCAGAAACAGCTTTGATCCACATGGGCCAGTGCTGGATCCAACAGACCTTGTAGGATACAAGATGACACAATACAGAACTTTTAAAGTAGTTTCTGTACCATGCTTTCCAGTTGATACCTTTGGATCCCTATATTCAAGGATTTGGCATTTTCCATAATGTCACAATATTACTATAGATGATACAGAGCTGACTGCTTATAATTTGTTTGCCTTGTTTTTGAAGGCGAAATGCACTCTGGGCTGCTGGAGTTCCTCCTCTTTGGCAGCTTAATTGCTGCTGTGGATCCTGTAGCTGTTCTGGCAGTGTTTGAAGAAGTCCATGTCAATGAAGTTCTATTCATCATTGTTTTCGGAGAATCGCTTCTGAATGATGCTGTAACTGTGGTAAGTAAATTATATATCCCAAAGCCACCCAAACTCTAGGGGCTTTCTTCTGAAGTGCATTTTCCCCTTGAAAGAAACACTGTACCATCTGTGGGCATCTCCTAATGGGCTAATGTAGTGTAGCTCATGGTTGTTTTCTGTCTTGCTTACAAACATTTTATTCTGAGGATTAGATGTTTGAACATGGAAACTATTTGGAGCTAGAGAGTCACATAAAAATATGCAGTCCTGGGCTGGACACTTAAAATGAAGTTTCAGGTGTGCATGTTTTATTTGCCTTTGTTGTTCAAGTAGGGCTTTCATGACTTCATGAAATTAGTTCCAGGGATTTCAAGCTGTTCTTTGCTGTTGTGTTTTTAATGCACATAATTTCTCTGTGTATTTATGTTATGCCCATAACTTATGTGCATACTTCAGGCAATGAGAGAGAAAGAATACTAACCAATGTGTTTATGTCTGCTCCCTCTCTTTTACTTCTGTATAGCAAAGAGCCAATTTGGAAAAAAATCTGTGACATTTTAGAAGGTTTCTGGTTTGGTTTGGGTTTTTTTGAAAACTTTTTTTTTAAATTTAGATAGACTTTAATAGACTTTGAAAAATCCCAAATTTCCACTGATCTTTTAATTTTGATTGAAACACCTTTTCTTTTCACACAATTGTTTTTCTCAGAATAAACTAATTAACAGTTTTGTAGTATAGTGTTAGTGGTCAGGGACCAGGAAGTCCTGAGGCAGAAAGATGCTATGCAACCAGATTGCTACACGGCTTCAATTCAGTTTAGGATAATTTCCTATTCCTGTCCCTGCATATCTCCAAAGGAGGGAAAGACATGTTCACCAGGCTCAGTGACTTAACTTTTTGCAACCAAGGAAGTAAGGCACTGCAAGGTCACTGCAGCAGCTGAACTGTTCACGTGAGTTTAAAAAATACAATAAGGGCTTCCAGAAAAACCTAATTTCCCTTGGATATCAATATTGTTAGTACTTTTGTGGTATTGACAGAAACAAATATTAAAATAAACCTTTGGTCAGCTCAAGTATCAACATCACTGGCTTTTAGAATGAAAGGCATTTTTGTTACTGTGAAATGAACACAAACGCTCCACAAATAAAAGAAAATTTGATTGTTCATTGAAGAAAATCCAGAAGAGGAGAGTAAGTATGATCAAGAGTCAGAAAGTACAGCCTAGAGGAAGTTTGAAACAAGTGGAGCTCTTACCTTGAAAAAGAAAAGACTGGAGGACAGAAGAAAGTGGATAATGTAGATTCTTTAAACATAAATATGTAAAAGACTACTGTTACAGAACAAAGTAACCTGTATACTGTGACTGGGTAAGTAGGATAAGAATTATCCAGCTTAGCTGCAAGCTGAGAAAGTCATAGTAAAGTTCTTCTCTATCACTGGATGAATTAAGAACAGATTAAGCAGGCATGTGTCAAAAATGATGATCATACCAACCTCCTTAGGTAGGGGTATGGATAAGTTTGAGTACAATTATTATAGTTTATTCTCTTTTATGTTCAACTTATTTTATGCATGTTCGACATACTTAGATTCATACCTTATTATTATCATCTTATTAAGTATCTTATTTATCTTATACAGGTGATTAAATGTATGTGCCCAATATCTAGATTTTACAGTGAGAAGTGCTTTAGAAAACACATCTAGATGTAACAATGCTACTTCTAGATAGGAAACATTGAAATGAGAAAAGGAAAGTTGTGGATTTTTTTAAAAAAGATTTTGTTTCTTCTGGCTCCACTACACTTTTTCCAATCTGAAAAAATGTCTTGTCCCTCCACACTGAATTTCCCTCAGTCATACGCAATTTTGGAATTCATAATGTTGAGGCCTATCATGAGATTATTTGAAGAGGTTTAATTCAGGAGCAATTATTAAGTTACTCTACTTTTCTTTTCAGGTGCTGTACAATGTGTTTGACACTTTTGTTGCAATAGGTCCAGAAAATGTGACAGGGATTGAATGTCTCAAAGGCATAGGTGAGTACAATTGAATTCTGCATCACATAATTGACGTATATATGTAGTATTTTAAACAAAATATTATTATGCTATAGGTAACTGCTATTTTTCAGCCCTTTCCATTATTACCCATATTCCCACATTTCTATGGCAAAACCGAATGTCTTAAGAAAATAACTAAGTAAATATTTCTGAATATTTGGGAAACTTAATCGGATTTGTTTGCTTTTTAGGAGGTTTAACAGATGTGGAGTTCATTTATTGAGACCACCAAACTCGACAGCTATGTATATTTTCTTTGTATTTAATAACATGTCCTTAGTTTCAGGCTATGCTCTCCCTGCATTCCAGGAAAGTTGAGATTGCATATAGACTTTCTTGCTTCTTATCACTGGTTGCCATCAAGTAACATTTGCCAGTGCCTATCAAGAAAATTTATTTACCTAAGAATATAGTACCTATTTCCCATTCCAAGCATGACATGATACTACACATCTTATGAATAAATGTTTTAACTGTGACCTTGGTATATTCATATTCATAATATGCTATTGTAAAAGCCTTTTTTTAAAGAACATGAGAAAAAATCTACAAAGAAATGTAGTGAGTTTTGAATAAGCCTGAAATGGTACCATAAAGTAACCTTGTTTTTCTACAGAATGCTACATTCACATACCAAGTGCTCAAACGCAGTTCCTATTGTTGCATTTTAGAAATAAATTTTGACATGTCCTCCAAACTTTGCTCTGATTTACTGGCCATATACTGTTCTCTCTCTGGAGGAAAACCATTCCAAACTGTTGTGTTTCTACTGTTTAAGCTGTGTTTGGTTTTGTTTTTCAGTGTCATTCTTTGTGGTGAGCCTGGGTGGGACACTGGTTGGCATTCTCTTTGAAAAAACGGTCAGTCGTTTTACCAAGCACGTGAGAATCATTGAACCTGGATTTGTGTTTATCATTTCCTACCTGTCCTACCTCACAGCAGAGATGCTTTCTCTTTCTGCCATCCTTGCGTAAGTCTTTTTTATTACTGACTGTGAAGAGGCTGAGAAGGGAATATGGTTTTTAAAAGCATTGAAAGGGAAGACCTAAATTATATAGGACAGCTGGGTAATACTATCTTCATACTACAGTAGATTATAGTTTGCAAATGCTGTCATTCAGCCTTGAAAAGAAATGCAAGTTTTCCAGTATCTGCTGTGCAACATGAGAACTCCTTTGCAAAATACAGACATAACTCTTTTATCTTTGTTATTAATAATGCTTCAAACCTAACAGCTGGCCATCTTTATTGATATCTTTCTCTATAATTTTTAATTAAAGCAATATTTTTCCAATGAGTGTCATTATTTGCTTATCTCTCTCTGTTTTGGCTGGCTTGTTAAGGTTTGCCTAAGTCTTGCCTGTTTTGGCTTGAGTACCTCTGTGGTCTTTTAGTATCCATTGATTCCTGGCATACCTTTCTTCTCAGTTTTGCTTGTCATGTTTGTAGATGGCACAGTAAGTATTTTCGAAGAGCTGAAAATCTTACTGCAAGCACATAATTAGTTTAAGATTATGTCTAGTGTAAGCAAGATTTAAAATTTTGCAGTATGGTAATCTGAAGAGAATTAAGGCTTATTACGATCTAGTGAAATGATGTCTTCAGGCCTCTTGAGCTCACCTCAGAATCAGTGTTTGAGAGACACTTTTTATGTAGACTAAACTCCACAGTGTATTTTTTCTTAAGGATTAATACTGAGTTTTTATCACTATGTGACAGATGGAAATAATATTAAATGTTGCATCAGATATTTTTTGAACAATTGCTTCTTTTTCTAGGATAACTTTCTGTGGCATCTGCTGTCAGAAATATGTCAAGGCTAACATATCTGAACAGTCCTCTACAACTGTAAGATATACCATGAAAATGTTAGCCAGTGGAGCAGAAACTATTATCTTCATGTTTCTGGGAATTTCAGCTGTAGATCCAGATATCTGGCGTTGGAATACAGCTTTTGTTCTGTTGACTCTGGTCTTCATCTCAGTATATAGAGTTATTGGTAAGGGGGTAATCTTCCTGTTCTTGCATTGTATTGCTGATGCAATCACATATTCTTTAGAGTTCTAGTCTTATTCCTTTTAAAACATTCCATTTATTTTAGTTGAATTTCTGGTGGGGTTTGTGTTAGGAGAGGAGATCTCTAAAGTAAGCTTCATCATATGCTGAAAATGTAGCAGGATTTCATTTTTAATCATGTATGAGGATATGACTAGCCTAGCAGTTAACATGAATCATCCAGTGGCTAACCTTTGTAGACCCAATATGTGGTATTGGCAAAGTCTCCCAGTGAAATGGACTTTGTTCTTTTACTTGCAGCTTAACAAAAGACATGAGTCCTGTCAGCCATATTGTTCCTTCAGCTCTTTCAATTCTGGTAATAAAGAGATTGCCTTAAGCTAATTTTATGGCTGACTTCAAGTTTTAGACACCCAGTAATATCAGACGGTACATAATTACACTGCAGGTTTTCTTGCTTAAGAAATAATTCTCAGGGACTGATGAAAAACTGAGTAAATAAGAATGTGGCTGGTAGGGATTACCTACTGTTTATAAAAGTTTGCAAACATTTCAAAATACCAATGATGATTTGCCCAGCTATGTAGTTCTACTGTAGTTTTGCTAAAGTCACAATAAAAAGGCATAGAATGAAGTACTTGTAGTGAGTAACATGTAGTGATGTGGTGTATGTAATTATACCTGGGAATAAATTAAACTAGTTTATTTGCCTGTTTGTCTTGACTTAAATTCAAGTAACAGGTTGCACATCTATCTACCTGGCAGTTTTCCTAGACTGTGTTCTTATTCTGTCTAGATGTTCCTGAACTGAATGAAGTGTCTAGCCCCATGTGCTCCTTTCTAAATAGTCTGTAAGCATTGTTTATTTAGCCACCTCTCAGTAACTGCTAATGTGCCTGAGGTGTTTAAAAGAGATTTCAGTATCTTGTCTTTGACACCTATTGTATTCCTGGATTGGGTCGTTAACAATCCTGCAATAAATGTGATCAACAACTATGCATTCAGCGATAACAATATGCATCCACTAAAGCTTAGTCATTGATAAAATACTCAATATCTAATGATATTGAGCCTTATATTATTCCAGCACTCATACTCTGAAGGAGTTTGATTGGTGACCTGAATTAATTCCAAGGTCCCCTCCACCAGAGGCCCTTCTTACAAGACACTCTTCCCTTGGCACAAGTTCAAAGTTCTCTAAAAAGAGAAGTATTTGTTCTACACTGGTTAAGAGCCTGGGGCGTGCATGCCATACCCCTCTCAGGAGTGGTGAAGCTGTTTTCCTTCTGTGTGGGATGCATTGTGATAGCTAGAGCTTTGGGTCTCATGCAGCATCTCACCTTTCTGTTTGAAGACAGTGTTAGCATAACTAGACAACCCTTCATAAGATAATGACTTAAATGTCATTTTTAGTGATTTGTAAATGGTACCACACTTACTCCCTAATTCAATGCTGTTTTAACCCCATTTCTGTCAAATGACCCTGTACATGTCAACAATTATGGTTCTAGAAATTCTGTTCTTTCTCAACTAATTTCAAAGGCCAGCACATAGCAGAACTTCCCCTGTAGTGCCTGTGTCAGAGGGCAGCACTCTCAGAACAGATGCTGTCTCACAGAAGCAGCTTCATCTAACTCCTTTGGCTAGACATAAAGAAGAAGGTACCAAGTGGGCAGCATAGCGATACAGAGGGGGAAGTAGATGGGGTAGATTGTTACAAAGTAAGTCTGGTGTTATACATTTATGTTATACACAGTTGGAATATGGACATTGCATCAGGGTATTTCTAGACATGCTGGCTTTTTTTTTTTTTACAGGGGTAGTTTTACAGACATGGATTCTTAACCGCTACAGAACGGTCCAGTTGGAGATAATAGACCAGGTGGTGATGTCCTATGGTGGACTACGTGGAGCAGTTGCTTTTGCCCTTGTTGCACTTCTGGATGAGAAGAAAGTTGGAGATAAAGACCTGTTTGTCAGCACAACTATCATTGTTGTGTTTTTTACTGTTATTTTCCAGGTACTTCAATTTCTTAAGCATGCTTCTTGCAAGGAGAAGGAGTCCCCCAAAAGTAGCGAATGCTTAAAGCAGTTCTCAGCTGAAGGTTGCATATTGTTTCACTGAACTGAAAGCATAATTGAGTTTGTAATTTTAGTAACGAAGATCCTATTTTATGTTTTCATATGGCACCACATGGGACAAAACACAATTTCCTCTGTGCTAAAAATTGTTCAGACTTGGCTGCTTGGTATTAATAGTGCCAAGTTAATATCTGATTAAATATCCTTCACCTCATGTGAATAACTATAGGGAACAGTCCTTCTAATGGGCAAATACAGCCATTAAGCTGATCTACCCGTGTCTCAGTCCTTGTTTTAAAATACAGCAGTAAACCACAGGACAAGAAAGTATTCAATAGCCAAACAAAATAGCACTTTCTGGATGAAAAGAAAAGATCATTAATTTAAATGGCATTATGTCAGTATATACCACCTTGCATTTTTTTTCTGAAGTATATTACAAAGTTTCATTGTGGTCACAAACTCCTGATGTGTGAGGAAAGTACCACATTCAGTGGTATAGGAAACACGTTTACCCTTCCACTACCATATTTTTCCTATAGAAGATATATTTTTCCACTGGTTGATGTCTTTTCAAACCTTTGTAACAGGAGCTGAGAGTCCTGCATTATATTATCTTCTAGAGCAGAGAGAGGTCAACTGAGAAAGTATGAGAACCACCAAATAACATACAAATATGCTCTATTTATCTTTAACAATACTAGTTGGCGGAAAGTCCTAAGTAATACTAGTTGGAGAAAACTCCTAAGTACTTACTATCATGTTTTGATCCTTAGGGACTGACTATCAAGCCTTTGGTACAGTGGCTGAAAGTGAAGAAAACTGAACACAGAGAGCCAAAACTGAATGAGAAACTTCATGGCAGAGTAAGATATTTTTTAACAAAACTGTGGTATCTTTTGGATTTTTACAGAGCACCTTAAGAGAAAACAAAATTATTAGAGAAAACTTCTTTTTTTGGAAGGGGGTTGGACTACGCAATTTCAAGAGCAAAATCCTTCACACATTTCAAAAGTTATCTTTAGGTTGCTGTATGTCTTTGCAATGAGTCCAATGAGGGGATAATCAACTGAAAGTTCTGGTCTTTCACTTGAGAATTCAGTGAAGCTGAGAGTACTGGAGACACATCACAGATGAAATATGCTTCCTTTTCTTCATCTAAAAGGGCATGATGTTTGATTGACAATTCATAGGGAAAAGCATGGGCAAGCTTTTCTTCATGGGAAGTGAATTTACAATTTATTGATGGACAGAGTTTTTTCTGAGGAATTCTTTACAGACTACTGAATATATGCATTATGATTTTGTTATCCAGCTATTGAAATTTTCATTTCCCTTCAAATATTTTGCTATTCGAAAACCAGGATTTGTCTTCCAGGTGAAGAAATACAGTCTGTCTACATTTGTGTAATATACTTCTACATGTCAACTAGCAATGCAGGCTGAGCAGTAATGTTACTCTTAACACTTTGTATACTTTTATGCACATATTTGCCACTTCCTAAAATATTCTAGCATATATTGTCTCAGGAGGCACAGTGCTCCTAGAACTGTATAAATGGCAGCCTTGAAAGAGAGGGATCACTGTGTGTTGTCAGGGAGTAAGAGACAAATTATTTACAATATCAGTATCTCCACTTCCATGTCAAATACCTCCTCAGGCAATAATTAACATGATATTCAGGAATAATCCATATTATGGAATCATCAAGGTTGGAAGAGACCTCCAAGAACATCTAGTGCAACCATCAACCCAGCACCACCCCATAATCACCCCTAAACCATATCCCCAAGTACCACATCCAGATATCTCTTGAAAAATTCCAGAGATGGTGACTCCATCACTTCTCCAGGCACCTTATTCAAATGTCTAACCACTCTTTCAGTGAATTTTTCTTTCCTAATATGTAATCTGAACCTCCCCTGGCACAACTTAAGGCCGTTTCCTCTCATCCTTTCGTGTGAGACAAGGCAGAAAAGGCTGACACCCAGCTTACTACAACCTGCTTTCAGGTAGTTATAGAGGGCTATAAGGTGCCATGTGTGCCTCTTCTTCTCCAGTCTAAACAACCCCAGTACTCCCAGGTGCTCCCCATTGGGGATGTTTTGTAGACTCTTCACCAGCTTCATTGCTCTTCTTTGGACACACTCTAGAACCTCAATGTCCTTTTTGAAGTGAGAGGCCCAGAACTGGATGCAGAACTCGTGGTACAGTCTCACCAGTGCTGAATACTATTCATGCTGTTCCAAATCTAGCATCTGTGTGTTCTGCAGTAATCACCCCAATGTCCAGAGTGAAATGTTAATAAGCATATACAGCAAAAGACAAAAGTATACCTGCAGGTGCCTTGGTTTGAATCAAGAGTTATAAACCTCAGGATTTCTATCAGCCCATCTAATATACTCAGTATGAAATTTTGCCCTAGATATTAAAAGAATGGCACCTACTTCTGCTCTGAGGGGAGTATGGATTCCTGAAACATCTAAAAAGAAACGCTAGGGAAATTGTTCAACTGATTTAATCACTGACACTAATAGCAGCATAGGGCACAAATGGAGATGATAAAATGACTTGAGAAAAAGTTTTAAAATTGAATGTTAAAATGAGAGCTTATGTACCTTCTTGCTGAGACCTTTTTAATTCAAGAATAATTAGTCAATTTATAAAGATATGGTTATAAATCTCAGGACTTTTGATAAAACCCCACATAGTAGTTAGTATTTCTGTAGGTAGGGGGAAAATTGCTTAGCAGCAATAAAATTCTTCTGCATAGTGACCTGGTCTAATTTGAAATAAACTGAGCTATTTTCTAATTATGCTTTTTTATTTCTGCAAAGATACTAATTCCACTTTCACTTTCCTAGGCCTTTGATCACATTCTTTCTGCTATAGAAGACATTTCTGGACAAATAGGGCATCATTATCTGAGAGACAAGTAAGTAGTAACTAACTTGGAATGTTGAAATACTGCTAGGAAATCTTATCTGTACATTATGGCAGAGGGTGCTTTGAAATAAGTCTGACAGTTTTAAGCCTACTAGCTTGAAACCAATGATGAGCCATCCCCTGGTGCTTATAGCTGATTTGTCTTAAGAAAAGCAAAATTACTCAGCTGAAAGATACACCATTTTCTTTAAAGTATATGTGAAGTGTTAACATTGCAATGGGCACAGTTCAATATCTACATGAATAAAAGTGTAAAAAAGGGCATTAATTCTGGACATATTTGTGTTATTTCGGGTTAGGCCGTTCTCTTCCTGGAGTCAGGTCATTTAATAGGTTTACAGTTTTGACCTGCTAATGCCTGCTGAGTCTACATGCCAGTTCCAATCCAAAAGCCACATCGTTGTGTGAGCTTTCTGCAGAGCAGTCCCCTAACCCTTGCTGAGGAGCTAAGTCTATTAGCTTAAGTTTAGCATTATGCTCATGCAGAATTGCTCACCTGTCTGCATCCAGTTATGGGGACAATCTCCTTACTTTCCTTTTGCTCTTCATTCATTTATGCAGTGAGGAATTTTCCTGGGGCATTCCAGACAGATCATCTTCTTTCTTTTGGCCTGAATTTGTAGTTTGCTTTTGGGGAATGAATATAGGGGAATACATCCTCAGTTTTGAAATACTGTCTAGAAGATGGAGCTGTGTTTTTAAAGTGGCAGATTAGAGTTTGACTTCTTAATGTCAGACAGTAATCTCCCTGAGTAACAAGAGAAGGAGTAGCTTAATGTAGGTTCATGGTTGAGTGTGCAGTTTGATGACTAATGTATTTTGAATGAGACCACCTTACGCTTGTCTTTTGGACTCTGTGGACATGAAAGTGCTGCTTCCTTAAAGAAATGGCAGCCCCTACCTTCCTCACTGATGGGCTCAGGTGTGGCAGCCTGAATTAGAGCCTGCTTGTCAGATGTTCTGGCTAGAGACGAGAAATAGTTTAACACAAAAAAGTTTCAGCAATCTGAATAAGAAGCTGTAAACTCAAAATAGCCATTGGGCAAGATGGATAGAGTCACTCTGAGCAATAGTCTCCAAAATTACCTCATGCCCTTTAGAGAAAGTCTTGAGGAAGTTAGATGAAAGTAAAACAACATTTATGTTCTGGACCTTCAATATGAAATGGCAGATACTCTACTGTCAGACAGTCCTGAAAGTGTAAATCACAGAAAATATACATCATTAATATCCCCCAGAGTACATCAGTGGCATGAATAAGACCTTCTGGTAGAGCTTTTGGAAGGGCACTGTTGTTATGAACTGATTTTCTAGTCTGGCTGTGCTACAATACAGCTGGGGAAAAGCAGATTAACTTCCAAAGCAGGAAAGAAAATTAAACATAGTCAGAAGTGGAAAAATAAGGTAGCATGATCTCCCAGAGTATAAAATGTCTTATTGACTCTGAAAGTGGATACTGTAATCATAGCACTCTTGTTGTTGTAGTAGTGTTTGGTAAGTGAACCGATTAAATTCTTTGTGACAGTTGCGTAAGTCCATAGAAGGCTTTTATTTAAATTTCTTTACATGCTAATTGAAAAGCTTCAAAACACAAATCCTACACATTCCTGTGATCACCATTTTTAAAAAAGTGTTTAGCTAAAGAAAATATCATTTATGATAATCTAAAAATGCTGTGAAACTAAAATTGCTTGTTGCCATTAACACAGTTTGTTTAAATTATCAGGTGGTCCAATTTTGATAGGAAATTCCTCAGAAAAATACTGATGAGAAGGTCTGCTCAAAAATCAAGAGACCAAATCCTTAATGTTTTCCATGAACTCAACTTGAAGGATGCAATTAGCTATGTGGCTGAGGTACTTATGAACACTTGTTGACATATTATAGCATCATTTGGGATTTGACTTTTTAAAATTTATAATATAGCATAAAGTTGATATATTGCAGGAGATGTCTAAAAGAAAACTATTTCTATCTCTGCTCTGCGTTCTTTTCCTAAATGTGCTTTGAGTCTTGGTATCACCTGTTTGAGAAGCTGTAGTTCTCTGTATTATCCCTGATCGCCAAGTATATTGTACTTAAATCAGTGTACTTTTGGATATTACTGAATAACTTTGTTTCTGTATTCATTACATGAAAAAATACTGTAATTCTGGAGGGTTACTGTCTTCCTACATGTGTCAAGAGAGTCTGGCTCCTGCAGAACAGTGGTTCTATGTAATGATGAATCTGATTTGAAGACATTCACTTCCAAATAGTGTGGATATATGACCAAAGTGGTGGACTGCTAATCTCAATCTACCAGATCATAGTAACTCAAAAAAAATGAGAAGGGTAACTTCAATTTGGTGGAATCATAAACCCCACAATTCAATAATTGGGGTTGAAATGATATACTACAGGTATTAGATGCAATCACAGAATTGTGAAGTTAGGGAA